TATTACAGTCTTAAAGTCTACTCATGTATATTCATATAAGGACATGATGTGATTTCTTTTTAACTCTGTCCTGTCTGGCAGCTTTCACAATTAGAATTATGATCTGAATACACTGTTGTTCGTGTGCTACTTTTATCTTTTTAGTTAATCATTTCTTTTCAGTGTTATTTCATTTATTACTTTATATGTGTTGTATGACAATGTGAACAGAATGAAAGAGAAAAGAATAATAATAGGAAGAGGAGAGAAAATATTGGAAAATGTAATAAAATAAAGGAGCACAAACAGAAAAGAATGATGATTCGCCAACTATTGCACCTATACAACCCAAATTTATTTTATCTTGGTCAAATTTTTACTCTGATACTCACATATGACAGCACATGAATCATCACACTTTTATCTGCTGTCAGTGAAACATATGCACCAATGTGATTCTGCATTTCCTTGTATTAATACATTTTAGATTATTTGTGAATCATTTAACATCCCTTGAATCATCCTTAAAATTTGTTTAAAGATTTCTTACATTTAGTTTTTCATGTATGATTTTTAATTTGTTTTTTTACTCTTTCAGTCTGGATACTGCTGCCGGGAAGACCTGGGTCATGAATAAGTCTTCCCGGCATGACAGTGACCCAAAACCCACTGCTAAGGCAACAAGAGAACTGCAATAGAAGAAGCACATTAAGGGCACTGAGTGGCGTAGTCAGTCTCCAGGCCTCAGTCCTATAATAATCTGTGGAGGGAACTGAAGCTTGGAGTTACTTAGTGGCAGCCAAGAAAACAGAACAATATTTTTGATAGATTACTCAGTGATTAATTCCAGCTCAGTAGGGGTGCAATGATCAGCTGCATGTGTGATACTGTGAGATTTATCTACAGCCAAGCAAACAAATATGGAGAATAAATAATTAATTTACTTGAATGTATCAGTTCTTTCAAATCAATATTATCTGTACTTTATATTAAATAAATAGTTGTTTCCCATATCTTCTTAAACAAAGACTTGTTAAACAATTTGAAGAGAGAGGAACAGTGTCACCTGTTAAAGCTAAGCTCAGAGCTGCAGAGAGAAAGGTGGAGATAAAACATTTAAGACCCTGCTGCCATTATCATTAACAACAAGTTGAAAGGGCATTTACTCTTTCTCCCCAGACTGCTTCAATCAGACTAAAACCTCCATTCTTAACTCAGTTCTGCACTACACAGACCCATCAGCACATCAGATTGGAGATGCTGTCTGTAATTTAAGGAATTATGTTTTCGAGGGTTTAAAGGTCATGGTACTGACAGTGTGACTGCAGATGCTCCATCTCACATTTTAGTGAGAGCACATCTTGTCATTCAACTAAAATCTGCTTTTCTTCACACTTGAATAAAATTGAGGATTTGTTAACAACAGTTGTTTTTGTTTCCAATTTGTTCTTTACATGTAATTTGTATTCTTCTGCAATGATAACAACTACAGAAATGTCATTTTAAGTTAAAAGAACTATTCAGCGTGCTGTTCAGTAAAGTTAACTAGTGCTCATTTGAATACAAAAAACAAGAGCTGGTATGAGCATGTAATAATGTTCTCTACGTTGTAAGCTACTAATATTTCAATGTGAAAATTTAGATAAGACACCGATCCTGTTCATAATTTTTATGGACAGGATATCTAGGCGTAACCAAGTGGCGGAAGGCTTTCACTTGGGTGGTCTCAGAATATCATCTATGCTTTTCGCAGATGATGTGGTTCTGTTGGTTTCATCGGGTGATGGCCTCCAGCTCGCCTTGGAACAGTTCGCAGCCGATTGTGAAGCAGTGGGAATGAGAATCAGCACCTCCAAATCTGAGGCCATGGTCCTCAGCCGGAAAAGGGTGGAGTGCCCACTCCGCGTTTGGGACGAGTTCCTGCCCCAAGTGGAGGAGTTTAAGTATCTTGGGATCTTGTTCATGAGTGACGGGAGAAAGGAGCGGGAGATCGACAGACGGATTGTTGCTGCGGCCGTAGCGATGTGGATGCTGTCCCGGTCTGTTGTGATGAAGAGAGAGCTGAGCGTAAAAGCGAAGCTCTCAATTTACCAGTCGATCTACATCTCTACCCCCACCTATGGTCACGAGCTTTGAGTAGTGGCCAAAAGAACGAGATTTCGGATACAAGCGGCAGAAATGAGCTTCCTCTGAAAGGTGGCTGGCCTCTCCCTTAGAGATAGGGTGAGATGTTCGACCATCCGGGACAGGCTCAGAGTAGAGCCGCTGCTGCTCCTTCACATTGAAACGAGCCAGTTGAGGTAGTTCGGGCATCTGACAAGGTTGCCTGCTATGCGCCCCCTGGGTGAAGTGTTCCGGCATGCCACACCCCACCGGGAGGAGGCCTTGGGCAGATCCAGAACACACTGGAGAAATTATATCTCTCGGCTGGCCTAGGAACGCCTTGGTGTTCCCCCGGACAAGCTGTAGGAGGTGGCTGAGCAAGCCGACCCCGGATAAGTGGAAGAAGATGGATGGATGGATGGACAAAGCGTCTAACATGTGACAACATCGGTTATTCATTACAAGCCCTAATAAAACCTCAGCAAGACTCAAGCTGCAGAATATAGAGGTAACTGCAGAGATGCTATTTTTAATGCCAGGCTTTAGCTTCCCAAAACCTTTTTCTAGTGTTATTAATCGGCCAGCCAAATGCAGCGTATACATGGATGTAAGAATGAACTCACTGAGCACAAGCCATTTATTGAGGTTGACGGTCAACCATACCAAAAAAATAAAGAACAAATTAAAAAAGACTTTTCTAACAGAAACTAAACTGAGCACATCACTAGGAACTAGGACCATAGAAACATGCTCTTAAAAACGTTAACACTGTCTGTGAAGCTAGATTTAAGAAATAAGTCTTTAAAGTTGAAGTAGGGCTCCATGGTGTAAATTTACCTTTACACATGTTTCATGTCTACTTGAAGTCTCTCAAAAACTCAGTTTTCATTATCTCTTCTTTACACTTAAGTATTAATATTCTACTTTATGACAGAATAAAAGGGGGCTCTTTAGATAACACAACACTGAGATCATTGCATCATGTAGTGTTGTACATAACTTTAACTTGGGGTGTTAAACGCAACTGAGCTCCCGTTAAAACCCATCAATCATCTGTCTGTAAAACAATAATGATCCCCTTTAAAATGTTTATAATAACATGGACTTGATGTCTTTACATAGTTTAGATATTTCTACTGAGCTGCACATAAGGCTTTAACACTATACAGTGCATCCAGAAAGTATTCACAATGCTTCACTTGTTCCACATTTTGCCATTTTAGAGCATAATTTGTGTGGTAAATTCAGTTGACTGGATATGATTTGGAAAGTCACGCTACAAGTCATGAAGTCAGACATGATATGTCAGACCATAAAACAAGCCATGAAGTCCAAGAAATTGTCTCTACACCTCTGAGACAGAATTTCATCAAGACACAGATCAGGGGAACCATACAGAAACATTTCTGCAGCACTGAAAGTCTGACTGAGCACAGTGGCCACTATCGCCTGTGAATCTGGAAGAAATGTGGAACAACCAGGACTCTTTCTAACCAATCTGAGCAATTGGGGTAGATTGGGGCATTAGCCAGGGAGATGGCTAAGAACCTGGTGGTCACTCTGACAGAGCTACACTGTTGCTTTGTGAAGAGAAGAGAACCTTCTAGATGGACAAGCCTTTCTATCAATCAGGTTTGTATGGTAGAGTTGCCAAATAGATGCCACTTGTAAAGGGGACATGACAGCCCACCTGGAGTTTGTCAAAAGGCAACCGAACCACTCTAAGGCAATGAAAAACAAAATTCTCTGGTGTGATGAAACAAAGGCTGAACTTTTTGGCCTGAAAACCAAGTGTCATGTCTGGAGGAAACCAGGCACCGCTCATCATCTGGCCAATGCCATCCCTACAGTGAAGCATAATGGTGGTGACAGCATCATGCTGTGGGGATGTTTTTGGCAGCAAGAACTGGTCAGTGTCAAGGGAATAATGAAGCAGTAATGTACAGAGACATCCTTGATGATAACCTGCTCCAGAGTACTCTGGACCTTGGACTGGGGTGACGATTCATCTTCCAGCAGGACATGACCCTAAGACACAGCTAAGATAATAAACGAGTGGCTCCAGGACCACTCTGGAACATCAGCCTGATGGAGCTTTTGAACTTCTACAAAGCAAATAGGAGCGTCGAGGCTATAATTGCTGCAAAAGGTGCTTCAACAAAGCAATGAGCAAAAGCTGTGTTTACTTACCTACATGTTATATTTTTAATTTTTATTAAATTGTATTATTTGCAAGAATATTAATTTCCATTTCCTGCATAACAGGAAGAACTAGTACATTAATTGGGACTACTTTCATTAACCTACAGTTGACGCTGTGAAAAAATAGTAAGTAAAAAATAAACAACAGCATGTGTGTTCATGATGAGAAAAAGAGAATTATTTTATTAATGTCTGAGTTTTGAAAATTATAACTTCAGACATCACTTAAATCTTTTTCATTTTTTGCTGCTCCTTGCATTCTGTGTACTGAAATATGAATTGTGATATCGTTAGCTTCATAGCATAAGTGCCTAAGTCATTGACTTAGTCAAATGACTTAGGCAATTATGCTATGAAGCTAACGATATGTGAAAAACAACCTACGAATTGTATCTAATATCAGTAGTCACTGTAAACAGTAATTGTATGGAAGAAATATAGTATCATCAGAATTCAAGTATTTTTAGACATTGAATTTATGACACTGAATTTTTATCCTCCAAATTTCCCTGCAAAAAAATTCACCTGCAAAAATTCACCTGCAAAAAATTCACCTGCAAAAAATTCACCTGAAAAAAATTCACCTGCAAAAAATTCACCTGCAAAAATTCAACTGCAAAAGTGATGAACTTTAATGACCCAAGCCAGAGCAATCAGCACCAGATCGAGTCGAGTGGCTCTCGGCCAATTAAATTACGCTGTTTGATCACATGACACCGTTAGCCAGCAGTTTGTCTCCTAAAAGAGAGCTGTTTAGAGGTGAGTGATTAAGTTTTTCTCCTAAATAGAGATCATTACAGAACGCCTAGTCCTACTTAAAATCCCATTTATTTTTATTTTATCATCTACTCGAACTAAGGAAAACGTTTGACTAACTCAAAGACAATTTCCACGCCTCCCCTGCCTGACGCAGAGGCAGTTTTGAATTTAGGAGCAGCAAGATGGAAGCGGCAAACCCTGGCGATTCTCCGGTAAGTATATTGTTTTTTATCTTCAAGTTTGTCTTTTGAAACCTTAATTTTATTTAAATCCGTTGCTCACGTATAAAGTACACAGACGGGGTCTTTGCTCAACTCGTCTGAGGCGTGTCTCACTAAGCGCTACATGCTAGCATCCTGCTAACCGAGCTACCCTTTACATGCTGTGCTTTAGAAAATAGGATACTCGTTAAAAAATACTCCGCAGATATTGATAGATAGACGAACACTGCAAATATAATGTTGTAAACGAAAACGGCCTTTGGTGAAGGGGTAAAATACACCATGAATAAAGCCATAGATTGAATGGCTGCCATGGTTGCAGAACGGCCTGATTTAATGACAAGAATGGGGAAGAGTGAGGCGAAGTGAACCAAAGCCACAAAACACGGTCAGACAAGGCGGCAAAAGGGCAGTGATCTGTCCGTCAGTATGAAGTTTGTGTGTGCTTTGGTGAACAAAAACTCGAGACCGGTAGCAGGAAGATGGGAGACTCGTGTTTCACTGGAATAGTGGTGAATTAAAACATCCTTTGTTGGGGACATTTAGGTGTAAATGCATCCATAAAGGTGAGACAGAGGCAGACCAGACAGTGAAGAAAACAAGGCAAACATTAGAAATATTAAAACGGAAATATAGGATTAATATAACATACAATTGGGGAAAATGTAAGGAACACAATGTAAATAATATTGTAAAGTCATTAAAACAGCATACTCTGATTAAAAGAAACAGATAATTGGGTAGGAGGATGATGATAATGATGATAATAATAATAATAATAATAATGTTAAAGAACATGTACAAGATGGGTATGTATACTTGTAGCCAGAACTTAACTACAAAGTTGTAGCATGCCAGACCATCTTGATTGAATGTAACTTCGCTCCACACAAGTTTTATGGTAGACATATTCATATTCATATTGGTATCTAATAAATGATTAATTCTTAGATTTTATCGAACGTTAATTTATAAATTGTTTCTGTCTTTATGTTTGTTTCAGATTATGCAAGATGTAATTATTCAGTCAGCAAGACACTTGCTGCAGTTGCTGACATCATCCAACTGAACTGCTGCTGTGTTGAATCAGAATACAAGGTTTACTTTAGCAAGACCTATGAGTTAATGCTACATTTAACTAAATTGTTATATATTTTGTGTCCAATATTGTCTCCATATGATTTTGTTTTTTGCAACATCTTGCAGAGAACAGAGTCAAGGTACCAGCTTGGTCAACCCTAAAAGACCATCTGTTCATCAAGAAATGACCAGGTGAAAAAGTCATAAACTAAACACTCTGCATGAGCATGGAATTTAGGATGCAACTTTATATCTTACCTGCTCTACACTCAGGGCTTGAATTACAACAGTCAATCACATAAAAAAAATAATACTTTTGGTAGTTCTGTGTCTCTCTCTCTCCTCCAAACCCAGATGGCTGCTGGTACTGAACCGGGTTCTGCTGGAGGTTTCTTCTTGTTAAAGGGGAGTTTTTCCTCTGCACTGTCACTTCATGCTGCTCAGTGTGAGGGATTGTTGAGGTTGAGTCCATATATCCTGCGAACAACTGCTGGGCAATGACACCATGCAATCTTCTGGGATTCCTTGGATAGAAAACCTGTGAGCTGCACTTGTCCTTGGTCTTCACAGCTCACCTTTTTACTGTTTATTGAATCAAAATTCTCCAGTGACATGGATTCTACATTGTAACTGATGTGATGTTCTATAAAGTGGTTTTAATATAAAAAAAAAAGGCAAAAATTAGTTTGTTTCTTTATTCAATTTTTGAACAGTGATACTCATTCAGTAAATGCAAATTATTTACACGGCAGTGCACTATAGGCATAAATCCAGACCCCTAGATAAAACATGATGGCATTATAGCAGTGACAACTCCTCCACAGTAGCAGGTGGGATTTCTTTTTTTGAGGACGGCTCCTTTTACCTGTCACTACAGATGGTCTGTTTGTTCTGGTCAAGAGCCTTTTGGGCAGCTGAAGAGGAGAAGTCTATCTTATGGCCAACCTCTGGCTGTATCTTGGTCATATTACCCAGCAAAACCCAGTATGCAGGTTCATCTGTAACAGTCCTTGTGCCACAGATCACTGTTGCTTCTACATTAAACAGAAGAGCAGTGACGTGGGTGCAGGTCTCCGTGACTCCGGCCTTACAGCTGCAGTGGGCGGCTTCAACCTTCCCTGTGATGCTCACAGTGACCCATGGCTGCAATGCTGGTTCATTCAGTCTTTGAGAGTGCAGGACCTGAAACACACACAAAGTTCTTGTCTTTAAATGAACTATGAGCCAAGGCTGACATAAATGTTTTATCTACTTAATCATTAATGTAACAGTGTTTAGAAAGTTAGCACATACATGTAATTTTTCATTTCTTTATGTGTCCATCTATAGAACGCTGCATGTTATAGTGTAAATCTGCCTGTTCTCTGTCAGAAACCTGCCTGCAGAAAATGAACCTAAAGGATGTAATCACTTTCAAGATGGAGAAAGCATAAAGTGACAATTATGAATCACTTAATATGATAAGGAGATTCTGCAGGTCATTAATCAATGTATAAAATTAAATAAAATTATTTTTAGTGACACAAGATACAAATATGGAAGGAAGATGTATAATCGCTCAGTTTGGGGAAATTGTGGGTAGCCTGCAAGGGCCTCAACTTCTCCATACCCACAATGTGCAACAAATGGGCACAGCTGATCTTCAACAGTGGAACATCGGCCAGTTACTTCCAACTTTAACGCAGCTTGTAGTCTTGGAGAGCAGCACACCAAAACTGCATGCACAACTTCTGCTAACAGTGGAAACAGATTAAGAAATCCATGCAAACAGATTCATAAACCGAAAGAATATTATTTTACAGGATTAATGATCATATCAGCCGCTGGCTGATCACAAACCCTGAGGGTGTATACGAGAAGCAGAAGAAGCAGAGGGGATATCCAGTTTAAGTTTAGATAGTATTTGTAAAGATATTGACCATATCCTTTTCTGAAAGTGTGGATATAATGGATGGGGTAAGGTACTGACATGCTACAACTTTATAGTTGTTAAGTTCTGGCTACAAGTATACATACCCATCTTGTACATTTTTTTTATTTTATTATTATTATTATTATTATTATCATCATCCTCCTACCCAATTATCTGTTTCTTTTAATCAGAGTATGCTGTTTTAATGACTTTACAATATCATTTACATTGTGTTCCTTACATTTTCCCCAATTGTATGTTATATTAATCCTATATTTCCGTTTTAATATTTCTAATGTTTGCCTTGTTTTCTTCACTGTCTGGTCTGCCTCTGTCTCACCTTTATGGATGCATTTACACCTAAATGTCCCCAACAAAGGATGTTTTAATTCACCACTATTCCAGTGAAACACGAGTCTCCCACCTTCCTGCTACCGGTCTCGAGTTTTTGTTCACCAAAGCACACACCAACTTCATACTGACGGACAGATCACTGCCCTTTTGCCGCCTTGTCTGACCGTGTTTTGTGGCTTTGGTTCACTTCACCTCACTCTTCCCCATTCTTGTCAATAAATCAGGCCGTTCTGCAACCATGGCAGCCATTCACTCTATGGCTTTATTCATGGTGTATTTTACCACTTCACCAAAGGCCGTTTTCGTTTACAACATTATATTTGCAGTGTTCGTCTATCTATCAATATCTGCGGAGTATTTTTTTAACGAGTATCCTATTTTCTAAAGCACAGCGTGTAAAGGGTAGCTCGGTTAGCAGGATGCTAGCATGTAGTGCTTAGTGAGACACGCCTCAGACGAGTTGAGCAAAGACCCCGTCTGTGTACTTTATACGTGAGCAACGGATTTAAATAAAATTAAGGTTTCAAAAGACAAACTTGAAGATAAAAAACAATATACTTACCGGAGAATCGCCAGGGTTTGCCGCTTCCATCTTGCTGCTCCTAAATTCAAAACTGCCTCTGCAGTCAGGCAGGGGAGGCGTGGAAATTGTCTTTGAGTTAGTCAAACGTTTTCCTTAGTTCGAGTAGATGATAAAATAAAAATAAATGGGATTTTAAGTAGGACTAGGCGTTCTGTAATGATCTCTATTTAGGAGAAAAACTTAATCACTCACCTCTAAACAGCTCTCTTTTAGGAGACAAACTGCTGGCTAACGGTGTCATGTGATCAAACAGCGTAATTTAATTGGCCGAGAGCCACTCGACTCGATCTGGTGCTGATTGCTCTGGCTTGGGTCATTAAAGTTCATCACTTTTGCAGGTGAATTTTTTGCAGGTGAATTTTTTTCAGGTGAATTTTTGCAGGTGAATTTTTGCAGGTGATTTTTTGCAGGTGAATTTTTGCAGGTGAATTTTTTGCAGGTGAATTTTTGCAGGTGAATTTTTGCAGGTGATTTTTTGCAGGTGAATTTTTTGCAGGTGAATTTTTTTCAGGTGAATTTTTGCAGGCGAATTTTTGCAGATGAATTTTTTTCAGGCGAATTTTTTTCAGGTGAATTTTTGCAGGTGAATTTTTGCAGGTGATTTTTTGCAGGTGATTTTTTGCAGGTGAATTTTTTGCAGGTGAATTTTTTTCAGGTGATTTTTTGCAGGTGAATTTTTGCAGGTGATTTTTTGCAGGTGATTTTTTCAGGTGAATTTTTGCAGGTGAATTTTTTTGCAGGGAAATTTGGAGGATAAAAATTCAGTGTCATAAATTCAATGTCTAAAAATACTTGAATTCTGATGATACTATATTTCTTCCATACAATTACTGTTTACAGTGACTACTGATATTAGATACAATTCGTAGGTTGTTTTTCACATATCACAATTCATATTTCAGTACACAGAATGCAAGGAGCAGCAAAAAATGAAAAAGATTTAAGTGATGTCTGAAGTTATAATTTTCAAAACTCAGACATTAATAAAATAATTCTCTTTTTCTCATCATGAACACACATGCTGTTGTTTATTTTTTACTTACTATTTTTTCACAGCGTCAACTGTAGGTTAATGAAAGTAGTCCCAATTAATGTACTAGTTCTTCCTGTTATGCAGGAAATGGAAATTAATATTCTTGCAAATAATACAATTTAATAAAAATTAAAAATATAACATGTAGGTAAGTAAACACAGCTTTTGCTCATTGCTTTGTTGAAGCACCTTTTGCAGCAATTATAGCCTCGACGCTCCTATTTGCTTTGTAGAAGTTCAAAAGCTCCATCAGGCTGATGTTCCAGAGTGGTCCTGGAGCCACTCGTTTATTATCTTAGCTGTGTCTTAGGGTCATGTCCTGCTGGAAGATGAATCGTCACCCCAGTCCAAGGTCCAGAGTACTCTGGAGCAGGTTATCATCAAGGATGTCTCTGTACATTACTGCTTCATTATTCCCTTGACACTGACCAGTTCTTGCTGCCAAAAACATCCCCACAGCATGATGCTGTCACCACCATTATGCTTCACTGTAGGGATGGCATTGGCCAGATGATGAGCGGTGCCTGGTTTCCTCCAGACATGACACTTGGTTTTCAGGCCAAAAAGTTCAGCCTTTGTTTCATCACACCAGAGAATTTTGTTTTTCATTGCCTTAGAGTGGTTCGGTTACCTTTTGACAAACTCCAGGTGGGCTGTCATGTCCCCTTTACAAGTGGCATCTATTTGGCAACTCTACCATACAAACCTGATTGATAGAAAGGCTTGTCCATCTAGAAGGTTCTCTTCTCTTCACAAAGCAACAGTGTAGCTCTGTCAGAGTGACCACCAGGTTCTTAGCCATCTCCCTAGCTAATGCCCCAATCTACCCCAATTGCTCAGATTGGTTAGAAAGAGTCCTGGTTGTTCCACATTTCTTCCAGATTCACAGGCGATAGTGGCCACTGTGCTCAGTCAGACTTTCAGTGCTGCAGAAATGTTTCTGTATGGTTCCCCTGATCTGTGTCTTGATGAAATTCTGTCTCAGAGGTGTAGAGACAATTTCTTGGACTTCATGGCTTGTTTTATGGTCTGACATATCATGTCTGACTTCATGACTTGTAGCGTGACTTTCCAAATCATATCCAGTCAACTGAATTTACCACACAA